TTGAAAACTAAAGGACAATTTCATAAAATATTCTTATGAGTAGGCAGACATGGATTTTTCAGTTTTCAGACCAGTAGTAACACCTTCTATCACCTCCAACTATCAAGTACTATAAGAGAAATCTCAAAGAAATTCTCAAGCAATCCTGAAAGTATAAAGAACCAGAAGCCCTTTCTCTGAGAAAAAAATTGTAAAGAATATTACAACTTGACATTAAGGCCCATTTATTTCAATAATTTGAAATGGTGAAAAGGGAAGAAGTTAAATTGAGCTAAAAGGGCCCTATGAAACAGCGTCACCCCTGAGATTCGGATGAGCCTTAGTATTTTTTCCATAAAGTACTAAAAACCTGGCTGTTTCAACAAATATTTCAGCTGGAAAGTTAACAAGCTGTTAGTTGCTCTTTTAATTGCTACAATTTTTTGCTACCTGGGACTATTTTGACCCTGGACCTTGATTATTGATTATTTTACTGTTGTTTAATTTTAACCCTCTGTACGGCATCCAGAGTCATTGCTATAAGATAGGTAGCCATATACATTATTTAATTCAATGAAACAACTAAGTTTTTTTTTAAAAAAATTATCTAGAAACTTCATTATTTTTCATTGTCCTTGCAGTAATAAAAAGAAGAATCAATGGCTTCATTGATCCTTTAGAGCATTCAACTCTATAATATTACACTGCATCTGTCAGCATTAAGATACTCAGAAATATTTCATCAAATACAGTGATAATAACTTTTCACCTTAGTCAGCAAGTAGATATAAGCCTTTTTCTATTAAAATAATTGAACCTCTGAGGGCATAGTTTTTCCAGTTATTCTTTATGGGAATAACTAAACCCAACCTTGTTATTTTCTGCATCCTCAATTATAGTTGGATTATAAGATACTCGCAATGCCATATTTATCAATGAGAAAAATGCATTCCTGCAAACAGAAAAAAAAGTCAAGGACGGAGCAAGAGAAATGAACAAACGAGTCCACAATTTTATCTGGTTTGGCCCTTCCAGCATTTATGAACATATTAAGAGTCCTTTGATGGCTTTCTTTCATCCCTTTACATTTTTACAATTTCAGATATGTAGCAGTGCCAAGGATATGCAGCATTAGGCTTTTCATTCACATTTCTGATCCTCCATCGCTGTAATCTCAGACTAACAGATGCTTTTATTACCAGTGCCATGGTCATGGTTTGCCATCCCTAAAATGGCTATGTGTTGTATTTGCTCATTGTTTAGGATTTGAGGGTTTAGGGGAAAAAAATCTGGTTTTAAGATGGCATGTCACAAGCAAGTGAAGATGTACTTGACTTCTTGATATGTGAATGCCAATGCAACTATAGTAACAGGACTGGGACAATGTGAATTTTATCTTCTTTCACAGACCAGCAACAACATAAAGGTTCAATAGCTATTTACAAGGCTGTTTATTGAGAATTAAACCATAAAATGAGAAAAATAAATACATCAGCATCAATAATTACCCGTATTATTCCCTGGCTTTCACATACAGTTTAGACCAAAGATTTTAATGCATGGTGCCTTTCTGCTAGATTATATTACACAGAAATAAAATCATGAGGATGTAAATATTTACTTGTGGGAATGGTATGATTTTGATGGACATTTTGTAAGCTATTTCAGAAAAAATATATTTCAAATAAAGGACCATAAAACGATACTTCGCTTTCACCATTTCTACCACTCATGTGATGAGACGGGATACTAGGGCTGTGCAATCATTGCTAGGACTAGATAATGCTTACAGGGCTGCTTGGAAGGTTGTTGCGATGATATGTGACAAAAGCTTTGGGAGACTGGGCCCACAGACACTTTCTCAGGCTATAAAGGACAAGGGAATGGGGTGAATTGTACTTTCAGATATACAAGACTGTTGTTGGTCTTGCAGGGTAAACCTGATAGGAATTACAATCAGATGAGCTATTTCTACTTTATTATAAACCTATATTGGCAGACTCTTGCAAGTACATTTCCCCTCTCATTTCTTTTATAGCCTGGGATACTAGGGAGGGTCTCTTATGAGGTCTTGCCCTACTCACTATCCAGCTGTTGAGTACATTATCTCTTATTTAGCTGCTTCCTTGGCAGTGTTTATGGGCTCAGTCTTCCAAGGACTTTCCCAAATACCAGCTGACTTTGTGGCTACTGGAGTACTAGAACTCAGGGTCTCCCAGTTCTAACCTGATGTCTTAAACACTACACCAAACTGGCTCCAGAGGATGCTGCTGCTCTAATAATGTGGGGAAGGTTTTGTTCTCACTGGGAAGTTTCTACCTATTTTGCAAAAGCCCATCTATTCTGGAACGTACAAAAGCCTAACTAGAGAGCAAGTATCAGTATGTTAGAATATCTGGCAGTTATTGGGTTAAATGCTAGGTATGTTGATGGGTCAGTGGGAGGAGTCTAAAAAGGTCATTGGGAGACTTCCTGGACACAAGCCAGATGGGAATCTTTTTGTCTACTACAAGAAGCATGGGTCATCAGATGTCACCATGATGAGCCTGCGCAGTTATAAAGATGGTATGGAAAAGAACATCATTCATTTATTACACTGACTCTGAGTTAAAAGCGCCTTCTTTAAATCAAGTCAGATAGACAACTCGGTAGAAATGATTATAACAAAAAATATATTTCAAACAGAAAGCTCATTTGCATACATACTGTGTTGCTACTTCTGGAAATTACATCTTTTGTATGTCAGTTCAACAGGTAAATGAATGATGCTCTTTTCCATACCATCTTTATAACGGTGCAGGCTCATCATGTTGACATCTGATGGCCCATGCTTCTTGTAGACAAAGAGATTCCCATCTGGCTTGTGTCCAGGAAGTCTCCCAATGACCTTTTTAGACTCCTCCCACTGACCCATCAACATACCTAGCATTTAACCCAATAACTGCCAGATATTCTAACATACTGATACTTGCTCTCTAGTTAGGCTTTTGTACATTCCAGAATACCATCTGTATACAATGTCATGATATACTTTCTTGCTCACATAGTAAAATGTTAAGAATGATCTATGAACTCTCAGTGGTATGAGATTACAATCCTGGGGTATATAGACAATAAAAGATCTACCATGACAAGAGGTCATTCCATCAGAACCATGTCATTATCCACACAGAAGTATGAAAAACTGATATTCTTTGACTAAAAACTCATAGGTTCTTAGATCTCTTCTTCTTTTCTCATTCTTTCAGATTATATCTGACTATTGATCAACACATTCCCATAATCATGAGAGATAAATATTGTATGAATAGAAAACCCAAAATTTTCCTGGACAGGAGATATACAACTTTAGGTGAAAACATCACTGGAGAAATTTTGAGTTAAACTATAACTTCCTGACTCATCAGTTCTGTGAATAATGAAATTGACTTAGTTGTTAGGTGGTGTCTAATCTCCACCCAACCATTTCTCCAAATTAGAAATGCTGAAAAAGCAAGGGGCCCATTAAAGAACTCATGCTTAAGGATCAGCAGCCAAAATAGCTGCTACTTGGTGAACCATTGTAGAAGTATTACATTGCTAACCTTTTTGACAAAAGAACTCATGGAATAACAGCAAAAGTGGAAAATAACTCTAATTTGTTCAAAACAGCAACCTGTCTTCCAGAATTATGAAAATTTATTCCATACTTTCCCATAGAAATGCTATTATTTCAAAAAGCTATGGATTTTTTTCACCAATTCAACAGTGATCTGTACTCTCAAATATTAAAAAGATAGGAGTTTTTTTATATTGAACTATTTATATGAAATTTTTATGCATTCACGTACTAAGTAGATTTTTTTCCTTGAGTAATTAGTCAAAGTGTTCAATTCTTCTGTAAAAGAAATTGCTTGCTAGCAAGTTATTTTTCATTGCTGTCAAACAGCACAAGACTCAATCTGCCATTTTGAATGGGATCCCAGGTATTGATTATTAATCTTTCAGAAAATATCATTGACACAAATAGGTTTATAGCTCAGGAGATACCTTTTCAAGCCTATTGATTGATAGACAGGCAGACTGACAGAAAAATATTTTGGAGTACTAACTATAATAAAATGAATACTAAAAGTAGATAAGTAGAATGTCTATGCCCTGAGCAATTAAGAGTATACGTGGATTCAACATAAAAATATATCCTTGAAACTGATTCTATATGGTTTTGACAATAGTCATCTTCCAGTAAAGTTTTATTCTTATTAAGCCATGAAAAACCATAGATGGTGATCTCTAATTTGGATAACTATATTTATACTTAAGGGTAGTACTCAATTTACAACAGTTCACTTAGTGACAGTTCAAAGTTAACAGCACTGTAAAAAGTGACATGGTCATTTTTCACACTTACGATTGTTGCGGCATCCCCATGGACACATGATCAAAATTTGGATGCTTGTGATGTATGTATTTACGATGATTGCAGTGTCTCGGCTGTCATGTGATCATCTTTTCCAACCTTCTGACAAGCAAAGTCAATGGGAAAGCCAGATTCACTTAACAACCATGTTACTAACTGAACTGCAGTGATTCACTTAACGACTGTGGGAAGAAAGGTCGTAAAATGGGGCAAAACTCATTTAATAACGATCCTCCTTAGCAACAGAAATTTTGGGCTCACTTATGGTTGTAGGTCGAGGACTACCTGTATTTGATTAGAAGTAAGATTTTTTTTTTTGAATGAAAAATAACCAACAATTGAATTGGTAAGCCTTAATCTTTCCATGACAAAAATCTGTCTGACTTTGTGGAGTTAGAATTATTAAAGGATAGTATAGAAATATTAAAGCATTAATGTCACTCTTTGAACCCTCCCATTCCAAAATATGTCTCTAAAATATTTGATTCTATCTATTTAGGGTTCCACAAAAAAGGATTCTTATACTATAAGTCTATAGACATTGTCACCTTACTGCAACAGGATTTAAGGCAATCTGTCTACCAAAGCTATTATACACTTTCTCAAAATAATTGCAACTCACCAGAGGTTTCATCCACCCTTTCATCTACAATATGGTCCTTCTGATGAACCCATTCGCTGTTGCATTTGAAGTAGATCTGAGTGGCAGGGCTGGCTTTACAGTAAAGGTTCACAGGCTTGTTCTTGACAATGTAAGCTTCTTCAGGCTCAATGAGAAAATGAGGAAGAGGTTCTGGGGGATCAGAAGGAAAGGTCTCTGGGAGCTCATGAAAAAAATCATCATCTGTAGGAAAGAATGAAAAGGAAACATTAAAGCATGGTTAAATAACATCTAGTTTTCCTTTAACTTTCATAAAAAAAAACAACAGTAAAAACATTGTGTTTGGGCATGAGAGACCTGCTCTGGGTTCTATCTAAAAGGCATCTGGCAGGACCTTGTTATGGCGCCCATCCTGGGAACATCATCCCCCCAGGACCCTTCTACTAGAATCATAGAATCACAGAACTAGAGACGGTTGTGTCACCAAGCTTGGAGAATGTGTAGCAGAACCCGCATTATTGTGTTTATTTGTTTGCGGGTTCTTTTGTTTTTTACTTCAGCTGCAAATCATGTTTGCATTCTTGTAATGTGTTGTCATATAGTGTTTTTAACTGTTGTTAGTCATGAATATGAGATAGACACCCATATAAATTGAAATAAATAAATAAATCCTTAGCTGGCAGATATTCTTTCACTATGTCATATAATTTGCAGGTTCTAGATTGTATAATTTGTAGACAGATTTCCATATGATAATCACAGACCATCAACAGTAATTGCAAAATCACAACTATATTTTCAAGTAGGTGAATTTAATTTGCCAACAGTAATTTTTTTTATTAACAATTCATGAGATGGACTCCTTCAGAAGAGAGTTTTAGTTGCTTTGGTTAACCTTGATAAATTCAATTGGAAGTATTTTATGTATCTTTCTGGATCAGCTGCACTTACTTGGCACTACTGTAATAACGTAAATATGTCTTTAATAATGTTAAGAATATTTTTGTGAAATTATATTAAGTTAAGGATTAGGTCAGGCCAGTTTATGACTACAGCAAGAGTTCATGAATTAAGATTACGTTATATTTTTTTTCTTTACAGAAAGAACTGAATAAATGTTTTATTTAAATCTACAGTCAAGGTCTTACTGATTAGTTTTAATGCATGTGAATATTTTAAACCCCAGGAATAGTAGTACTCATAGAAAGTGACAAGAATTAAAATCACACTATCTTAGTTACATAAGAAAGCTTAAGATGTAGTTTTCTTATATGGGCTCAATTAGTGAATTACTGGAAGAATAATCCTCTAATTAAATATATATTTATGTATATATAAATCTGTCCAACAATATATATTGCAGAACAGTCTTCACCCAGAACCTTTTGCATGTGTTGGGATTTCTAGCTGCTGGTTATCTTTTGACTGGATTATTTCAACATGCTTTACATGGGGCTACCCTTGAAGAGTATTTGGAAGCTACAAATGGCACAGAATGCAGTGGCATAGACAGTTCTGGAGCCCTCTTGGATGACACGTTACCCTGCTGTTACATAAGCTACACTGGTTGCCAAATTACTTCCAGGTCCAAATAAAGATGTTGTTGATTATCTTCAAAGCCCTTTATGATATGGGTTCAGGATATCTGTTCACCCATTTCACCCTGATGGGACTAGTCCACCCACACTCATTCCAACAGGAAGGCCTACTTCGGATTCCGTCTACTAAAGATTTTCATTGGCAGAATCCAGGAGAAAAACCTTTTCTGCTGTGGCCTGTCCTCTGGATTGTTCTCCTGCCAGGAGTCTGTCCTCACACTCTTGACCTTCCAGCTCTGCCGGCTGTCCTCAAGCTCTAATAGAGACACACTATGTTGGGGTGGCTGATTGGATAGAAAAGGCACCTCCCCTTATTATCCTCTTGGTTTTTAGCTTTCTATTTAATTCTACTAATTTGAATTGCTTTGTATTATCTGTTTTTACTTTTTATTATAATACAAGCCACCCAGAGTTGCTGTATAGTGAGGTGGGTGGCATAAGAAATAAATAGAATAAATAATTCTCAGAATCTGGCCTGTTTGGATTCTCTATGACCTATTTTATAAAAGAAATCTGTAAAACTCAATTAGGAAGACTCTGCACTGATGTTTCATTACAGAAGTCATCAGTGGTGTCTGCGTGATCTTGCTTCTTTTGTCAGAATTAAAGCAGTATTGATGCATCATTTTGCAATGTGCATGGTGATAACGGGCAGATCTTCCATTGTAATGCTGCAAGTCCGGCTGAATCTATTTGTTCCCTGCTTTTCTTCTGTTAACATCACTGTAAGCCAAACTCAATCACTAAGAACATGCTGCTAAGAGTATGAGTCATTTAATCAGGAAACTTCATGAAAACCAGAACACAACACATATTACTGAGTGCAATTGTCAAATTTTTCATAAAAGATGTTTTGCGTATCTGTGTGTCTTTCTATGTGTCCTTTACTTCCATTACCTTCAGAGTGCATATAGTCCTCAATTTACAACCATTTGTTTAGTGACCTTTCAAAGTTACAACAGCATTGAAAAAAATGGTTGTTTTCTACATTTACGACATTTGCAGCCTTCCCATGGTCACATGATCAAAATTCAGATGCTTGGCAGCTGGCATGTATTTATGACAATTGCAGTGTCTCAGGGTCACACTATCATCATTTGCAACTTTCTGACAAGCAAAGTCAATAGGAAATCCGTATTCACTTAACAACCATATTAGTAACTTAACAACCGCAGTGATTCATTTAACAACTATGGCAAGAAAGGCTCATAAAATGGGGCAAAACTCACTTAACAACTGTCTTGGGCTTACCCAAGGACTACCTGTAAGTAACTAACACATCAGTATTGGATGAAATGATAAGTGGTCCACTTGTAGATAAACAAAAAATGAGCATCTACTTTCATTCAAATTAAACATCATCCACTATGGTTGCATCCATAAGGGCGAAAACACTGAAGGGATCTGGTAGCACTTTTCTGATTAACAAATTTTATTCAAAGCTGTAAGCTTTCTTAAGCTGCCACTAATGATGTCTGTGCCATCTATGCATCTGATGAAGGGAACTGTAGCTCATGAACATTTATGTATTTAAATATAATGTGTTAATGAGAAAACCTGCTATTGGAATCTTACTGCTTTATATCTGCATCCTAGTTCCAATTCTGTATTCACAAATCATTTGCTTGAAGCATTATGCATGTATATGTTGTGCAGTATTTTAGCCTTGGAAAAACAAGTGATATGAAACCAAGGAAAGTTAAATGCAATTCTTTTATTTCTGATGTAAGGACAGGCTTTGACTTTTTCACTGCATGTCTTTCATTGCAAAGGGAAATTTACAGAAAGTTCTTTGGTAAATAGTTGAAAATAAGTAAGGGTTTATGACAGCCCATTTGTTCTCCACATCAAGACTTAAAAAAAAAAAACCCAACCCCTTTCTTTTCTGAAACAAAAATACAGCAACTCATTGGAAAAGTCCATAGCTTCTCATTGATTTTAAAATATATTGTCAATATGCAAGAGCTTTTGAAATACCCAGACAAACCGTTCTTATTGGTAAAAGGATGAGGGAACAGTCACTATTGACAGATCTCTCAGTAAGAAGCTGATAGGCCTAAAGGCCTTATTCAATCTCTTCTTTTCTGCTTCTGAAGCAGTTATCATTATGCACAGTGACGGACGCCAGCGATGATCAATAAAGCACCACAGAATATCAAACTAAAAATAATGCAGAAGGTTAGCTCTTCTCTTCGTGTCAGTTTTCATGAAGATTAAATGTCAGACAACTACTCTTCTTTGCTCTCGATATACATATATTTTCCGGTGTCCAGAATTACAAAGGATATGAAAAGACTTTTCCTCTCGGCACAGCTTTTGTAGAAAGACAGATAAAGAACAAACAATGATGGATGAAAGGGACTGGATAGATTGCTATCAGGGTATCTATCTTCATAGCTTCAGTTACACTATGTCTTTATTAGAAAAGTGTAAATTGAGAGGGTTGAGGTTTCATGGGCCTTCAGACTTTCTTGAACTATATTGGAAAAATACAGATTGTTCCTTTGTAATTATAAATAGAATATTTAACAGTTGATGCAACGCAAGCTACTGCTTTAAGATGAACCCTGCTGTTTTGCAATGCCATTGAGCCCAGCACCATTAAAAGAAAACAACCAGAACAAGTAAGAAATATTGTTCTTTGTGTTTACACATTTTGGTAGATTTAAAAAAAAATATTTTCAGTAAACATCTAATGATTAAGACACCAGGCTAGAGACCTGAAGATTGTGAGTTCTAGTCCCACCTTAGCCATGAAATTCAGCTGGGTGACTTTGGGCCAGTCAATTTCTCTCAGATCAACTCAATTCACAGGACTGTTATTGTGAGGAAAATAGGAGGAGAGAAGAATATTAGGCATGTCCATCATCTTGAATTATTTGTAAAAATAATAAAAGGCGGGATACAAATTAATGAATAAAATTAAGCATCAAGGCAAACTTAATTTTTCCTGAGTTAAAGTATCTTGATTTAAATAAATTAACCTTTTAGTTATCCTCTGCAAAGATAATGAATGGGATCCAGGCTCAGTCTTACCAATAGAAGAGTCTTTAAAATCAGTACAATAATATAATATCATTAATAAGTCTTATTCATTTTATTGGATCTCTTCTAATTATGATTAACTATGGATTTTTTCCATTTTAAGTCCTGATGTAGGAAGGTCTCTTCACATAGGTATAGGTCAAATTTATACCAGAAATTAATAATTTCTTTTTAATAGATCCAGACCACATTTTTTTCTTCTGGTAACTTAACAGCTAATCAATAAAAGAGACAGATATATAACTATGTAAACACATATGTTCTATAATTAAACAAAACTACAGTTCTGGATATTAGCAACAGAAAAAAATGTAGTCATTTTCATCAATGGCTCCCAGGATACATATTACAATGATCAACATCCTATTAAAGCAATACACAAAAAAATCCCTTTTGAAGATTTAGTGTTTTTCTGATTCAAGTTGACTGATCAGGACCTTTGGGTTGTTGATTAATTGACCCACTAAAACACTTTGGTGTTTTAAGTCAGTTGCTATATGGTAGTATATTGTGATCTGTTAGATTTGCCTGCTCACTGATATAACACAGCTAGGAAATATATTCTGCATAACCAAAGCAGACAATAGTGAATTAATGCAA